GGTAGATAAAAAATAAAGCTTCCGAATCAATCACGAAACTAAATCTTTTTGCTGATGTTTTGTTGGTTAAAAAAGCTTAAAATATGCATCACAAACAACTTAAATGAGGGAAAAATGAAAAAACTTATAAGTTTGAATGAATTGGAAAACTTTTTTAAAAAATCTCATTTTTCATAGAACCAACGTCTAGAAAAAAGCATAAAATATAAGCAATTTAGATGCAACTTCCAAGACAGAATGGAAAAACCAAAGGGATTATAATCAATTATAATCGATTATAATGGATTTTTGTGCAAAAATAAAGAACTAGAAATTCGAATGAAATTAATGGATTATAATCAATTATAATTGATTATAATTGTATCGAAAAATAGACGAATAAATAATCGATTGTAATCGATTATAATGGATTATAATTAATTATAATTTGATTTTAAAAAGAGAGATTTTAATCGATTATTAATTGATTAAACTCGATTGTTTCTCAATTTTAGTAAGACTGATGCTAAAATCGTAATATAGTCAATTATTAACGCTTGAAACTGGATGCGGGATTGCCTTCATATCGTGAATAATGGTAGTCTTCGTACATTCATTAGTCATTGAGGTAGATAGTCTTAATTCTTAAGTTATCATTTATCTTTCTCTACCGCACGACTGGTGTTGATTTCGCTTACTCTTCCAGGCTGCACTGGCTCGGCTGCACGGTCTTTGACCATGAATTATTGCTTATTTCTTCTGCAGCTTTCATTGACAGCAGAATTTCGTGCGCTTTCCGGAAACAAGCGTAGCCCTGCACTTCAAATCTTTTGAAGCCCCGAAACTTTTGACCGTGAGCAATGGACCGAATAGCTCATGTGATGCAGAAAACTCTTTAAGTATAAAATATCAAGTTAGTAATTTCAGGGTTGAAATCAAAATCGGTGAAAATATCTCAAACTTTTCAATAATGTGCTAATAATGTGCTAATGCTTTTCAATAATTTTCAATAATGTGCTTCAATAATGTGCTAATAGCATGCACTACTAAAACTACACACTAAGTTCTCAATGAGTTCACTGGCAGGAATTTGAAAATTAAAAAATTGCTTCATTTCAAAAAACTTCAAAAACTTTCTAATTAAAGTAATGAACATTGTTTTGTTAGTAAACTTCTTCAAAAAGCAAACATGAAAGTTTTGGTCCGGTGCAAACATCCGATATGTCAAACAGCCGCTAAGTCAAACATCACCTGTAATAATATAAGGTTAGTATTTCAAAAACAAGCCGTAGTTCAATTATCCGGTTCCAACGTAGCCGATTTTTATTTTAAGGTCTTTGCAGCGATAACCCGCTCTAATTTTCATATAGGGTCCTACCCTATGTTGGCAAGCTCGCACCACGTTGGCGCGACCACGGCGATCCGCCTTCAATCGACCACTATAGAACCTTTTAAATGAACGGTATGAATCGGATCTTTGCCCTACTTTTTGAAAATTGTCGGATGTTTGCCCTAATAAAGCTGTTTTTCGGATGTTTGACATATCGGATGTTTGCGCGGTACCAAAACGTTTTGCCTGATTTTATTGGAAACTTCTGCAGAAAAACTAAAGCAAAATTGTTGGATGTTTTGCGCTAGCTTTATGACAAGCAGACTTATTCAAACCGAGGTAACTTTGAAGCACTATAATATTAAATTATTAGATTCGAGTTTATTGGGTCTTAGCCCGCTTACTTTCTACGTTCCGTTCAATCACATTACGTTCCACCAAATTTTTCTACCTTTCACTCTTTTTTCCAAGGCACAGTTTGGGTATGAACTATTGAAAAATTTTCCAAGCTTGGCTATTCAGCCATTTTATTTGAATTAAAAAGGTAACGTGAAACAAGAAACACTGGAAACAAGTGAAATAAAGCAATTTGACAAAAAACTCAATGGTTTATTAATGTTGCCGACCAATAGTAAATTTTCAAGAAAACTTACCATGCATTGAGTATTACCTGCAACCGTGTTTTGTCTTTTTTATCATAGAAACGTTGCAAGATACTCAACTATATTCTAAGCTCAAGGATCCGATATTCTCGAATTTTTTTAAAAAGAGGTGTAGGCGTTTTTTTTCAACAGAAGCAAAATGTTTCTCGATCCAAGTTCTGAAAAAAATGGCTCTGTTCAAGTTGGGTAATGCGTGATCTGTATCCATTGCCACTCATTTGAACTTAGTAGAGGGCACAATTTCTCAAGTTCCCGTCTTTTTTCTCTGACACACTACTTGTGAAGATTTGATAATTGCTTCGGACTGCACCGGCTGGAATACCCACCGTCTCACTCTTACCGCATGTCGCAGAAGAGCTTCTACTGCATTTTAAACTGGTAATGGATTTGGCAACGTATCTTTCAATTGCCGGGCTGCAACTTTACCTGGGCATTGTAACCTAAGACTGTCGGCAAGGGTCCTGATAGCCAATGTATCGCGCGTGAAACTCACTGTGTATTGCTAGAGTGTTTTGTGATCACTGGAGATTAAATTATTGATTGAACTACTGTTTTTTTTTTACCACTATGCTATCTAAAATTGAAAACTTCTTCAGAGAAACCAAAGTCGTCGCAAAATCTGCGATAATTTCAGAACTCGGCCACGGGGCGAAAATCTCAGCCCATTTACAGGAGTTTGACTCAAGAATAAGTCCCCTTTGAAACAAATTTAAAAATTTAGATTTTGGACTAAATGTTTACTGGCTCTAAAATACTCAAAACAGTACAGAGAAGACCTCGCGTTTAAAGAGAGACAGGAAAGTCAGTTTGGAAAACTAATTTGAATAACCGACAAAACTCTCTTTCAATTGATACATAATCCGACCTGTGTCCCTTCTCACGAAAATCTTCTCTGCTCTGGGTTTTTAACTGCTATCCTATTTAGGTAATTGTAACATAAAAATAGTATTAGATTTTAAAGTTTTTTTTCTAAACTCAGGAAGTATAATAATTTATCAAATCACTGAAACAAAAGGTGAACTCGCACAAATTTTTGATGAATATATTGCACTTTGTAGACTAATTTACAAGTATTGTTCACAAGTTTAGTATGTTCTCCATTTTGTTTGTTTAATTATTTTTTTTATTCACGTGCATAGATTGGGTATGTTCTGTTGTGGGGACATGACTGTGTTTGTGTTGTGGGATAAGTGCTGTTGTTGAGTCATCTGTTGGGTAATTTGTGGGTTGTGTTGGTGTTGTCCTGGTGGTCCGTTAGTTCCATTTGAAGGGTACCCACTAATTACACCTGAGGGTAAAGTGGCACTGGCAGAATCTGTAACAATGATCAGAGTCGATCTAATTTCATCTAAATGACCCATGAAAATTTGAAAAAAGAAAGGCTGATAGATATTTCACAGCTTTTAAAACGAGGTGCAGAGGTATAGCAAACTTTTCGATTAAGATCATGTTCCCAGAATGATCACTTGACTTGATGAACCGCAATTAAGTAACGTTTCATTTGGATAAGTCAGGTTTTATTTGGATATCTCACCTGTGTTCTGTTGACTGTAAGGGTAATACGCGAAGGCATTAATTGCACTCGGGTCCATATCTGAAAAAAAACATAAGGAAAGCTGATAGTTTTATCAAAAAACTTTTAAATATGATAGATGGTCGTTTCACCTTCAGTAAAAATTTGCAAAAAAAACAGACTAAGATAGGATCAAAGTTGCTCTTACCCGGAGCCATACGGAGTGACAGTTTGCTCAACAAATCAATGGCCGCGTGACTCGCGTTCTCAGCTGAAATCAACAACTCCTGGTGCAGCTGCTGATTCCCGCCTGCCCCTGCCCCTGCCCCTGCCCCACCCTGTTGACTCCTCTGGAGTGTCGAGGTGGGCTGCTGGAAGGAGTTGTTGTCTGCTATGTTGCCACCGGTGCCACCCGGCAGCATGGCTTGTCCTCCCGTTGTATTGTTACTGCTATACTGGGACAGTTTCTGGTGGTTGTAGTTAGGTGATGATCCTGGAATAGACTTTGTTTGGAATGATACGGTTTCTAGTTTAATTATCAGTTGAAATATGCATTCTATTTCTTTGTATTTAAACAATTTTTAAAAATTCAAGTTGTCAGCCCAATATTTGACGAAAAAAAAACAAGTTCAATGCTGATATCATTTTATACCGATCTTTTAAAGTTCTCATCTGTTTTTCTGAAGAGGTTCAACTTAAGTTTATCTTAGTTCAGTTAATTTTTGTGACTTTAATGACATCTGATTCACCTGTAGTTGTGGAATTAGATGAGAAGTTTCCGAGAGTCTGCGAGTGATTTGAACTAGGAGCAGCTGTCACAGGCTGACCAGTCCTCAACATCTTCATCAAACTTTCAAGTTGGACCATCAGCTCCCGTCTCGATTCCTGAAGACATCCCATTCTTTGCTCCAATTCCTCTTTCCTCTGTCTCAGTGAACGGAGTTCATGAACTAAACTGGGGTTGTTAGGGCCTCCTGGGACCCCTCGAGCACCGGGCATGAACTGACCCGAAGCTGACATCATGCCTCCCGCGTGCATTCCGCCGGCGGCTGCGGCTGCAATGCTGCTCATCCGACTGGTCTCGTCCCGTTCTTCTTTAAGCCGCGCTATTTCTCGCATGATGTCTCTGTAAATACGGATCATTAAGATTAGGTAACTCTCGAAAAAAAATAAAAGAATTTAATCCGAAAGTAAAAAACATAAAATTAACGTTATCCATTTTAGCACTACGTTTCATTTCACTTTTTGAAATCCTTGTAGATGAATAAAATGATAAAAAAGAAAGTTCTTTTGTAACGTTTGAACTATTCTCTTGCAGACATTTCTAAGAGGAGTTTTTGGACCAAACCATTGTATTCAGTTCAAGGAGACTTTTTGTAAGTATTTTAGCCTCAAACTAAATGATTTCAACACTCATCAATCCTTCAGAAAATAATATCGGATCAAAAGAGAAATAAATTGACCTTGACCACTAGATACTCACCTGTTCTTCTGGTGTAAATCTGCTAGAATCTCCCTCTGTTTCTGATTCCTACTCATGTCGAAATTGGGATGGGGATGTGGGAGGCTATTGTGTCCAGTAACACCCCCTCCACCTGAACCGAGAGTTCCGCTGTTTTGCAAAGTGCCTCCCATAACTCCATTTCCGCTCATGGGGGGTCTGCCGCTCTAAAAAGGGAACAAATAAATTACCAATAGAAAAAACCTTTGAATATATTTTTCGAAAAAATTGAGCAGTTTCAATTGTCAGGTATTTTCCAAACTTTTCAGACAGAAAGTATCTGATTTGCGAAGTATTTCTTTTGACAATGTTTTACTTTAATTAGAACGCGGAAAATAGAACAGAAAAAAGCTCAATACAAAAAACGGTCACAAATAAACTTCTACAATTTTAAATTAAGTATAACAAAGATAATAATAGCAGGGGCGGATCTAGGATTTGCTCGCGGGTGGATTTCAAAACAAAATAGAAACTTCAGTAGTCCTTTTTTTTCTTTTTAGGACAACCAAATTGATTTTCTGAGCTCTCCAAGAACACCTTAAAAACCAAATGTTCTGGGCCGCAGACATTTTATGAAAAAAAAACAGGTCAAAAAAGGCGTTTTTTGCCTTTTCAGGAAAATTTTCAAAAAGTTGCGTATGGCATACAGCAATCAAATATCAAGCTAAGTTATCATTATTTTTAGCACTGAGATCATAGAGAATAGTCTTTCGATCAGTCTAGTGATGTGTCCTTCCGGAAATCAACTATTATAACAGTTCTATATCAAAGGTCCGATTAATTAATCAGTTTCAGAAGTGTCATTTGTTTCCTTGTTGACAGGAACTATTGCAGCCATATCCAAAATATAAGGTTTGCTCTAGATTAAACTTACACTTTTGCTATGGACAGAAGATAGGTCCTAAATTTACACTTAAGTTTCATCCTAGTCTCACTAACCAATGAGTTGAGTGTTTCCTGGGCCAGTTTGGCCGCATATCTGGCGATGAGTCTATGTTCGTCGTCCATCTTGCCCCCTCCTACTCCCCCTCCCCCTCCACTCTCCAAAGCCTCAGACAGTCTGCTGAACAAGATGATTCAAGTCAGCACACAAGACTTAATTGTTGAAGACATTAAAATTATTATGGGAAGACCACTTGATGAAAACATTTAAGACAACGTTACACTTTTAACGTACTATTTATTTAACGTACCATTTTAAGAACGTACTATTCATCAGACTTTTTCAAGAAACCCCACCTCCTCTATTGCAAAGGGGAAAAGCATTACTAGGTTCGAAACTTGCATGCCGCAGAGCAGAGTAGAACTATTTCTTTATAGAGGTGGACAAGTTACCATAGATAGATAAGTTTGATTGTAAAAAAGAAACTCGATAGCATTTTAGCTTGTTTCTAGGCGCCTGACGCCTTGCGGAGAAAAATTTAGGCCATAGTTTCCTCCCCTCTTTGGTTGTTGTGCATTTAACACAGAATTTTCCAACACCATAATCAATAATAAAATCTCCATACAAAATAAAACAATCTATTTTATAACGAACTATTTTTTTTCTAATTTGTTTGCCGTTTTTTTCTTCCATGCTGTTTTTTCCAACAATTTTGGAAAGAAAACAAAAAAAAAACTTTTTTAAAGATGGAATATTCTGTCTACCTTTCGTAGTTAGCTAGCAATGCTGGGTCTCTAATAGAGGGCGGGACCATTGAGCCAGCAGCAGTGCCACCAGAGGTTAGTGACAGTAACCCCGCGGGGTTGCCTAAGGATGACTGGGCGTGGTTGGATGAGATGCCTCCGCCTCCGCCCCCTCCTACGCCGTAGTCTGTTACAGGTTGAGCAGGACTAGAACAAGAAAAAGAAACAGATATCAAAAGAGGTCAAACTGGCGTTTCAATTTGATTTTTTTGACTTTGGTTTCCTTGCATAACAGTTTTTTATACCCACAAGTGATAGCGTGAAAACTGTTTACTTAGTAGGTTTTTAATTGATTGATGCAAAATTAAGCATTTTTGGGTTGTTCCAACTGATCGCAAAAAAAGATCGCAAGAAGAACAGAATGTTCCGACGACCAGAGCCTTATAAAATACTAGGAAAAGATTTTTTTCTAATTAGTGTCGTTGTTTTTGGGAGGTGTTAAAGAAAAATTGAGCAAACATAGCCAGAAGACAGTTGGAAAAGACTCAATGAACGCAAGTAAACAGAAAAAACATAATGACTTGTTTTTTGAAAAAAATCTTGACTTTCGAATTTTCAAAAGAAAAGATTTCCTTAAAGCTCTGAGTTTCTAAAACATTTTATGATTGAAACTTTTAAAATAAAATTAACCTAAACTGAGAAAACTGGATGAATAGGTAAAACTTTTATTTCGCGTGGAATTCGATAATTATATTCCACTTTCGAAAGTAGAAATCGATCACGTTTCTTATGACCTTTACATTTTTGCTGTCCGATAGTGGAATTTGCCTTCCTTTTAACAAAGGAAATGTATTGAATAAAAAAGAAATCAAAAATCAAACCGCAAAAAAGGTATTTCAGGCTGAACAAACTTTGAGATTTTTGCTGAAAAGAAACTCATCGACTATGTTCATCGACTCCTAATAACCAAAATTATGTCGGATATTTGAAACAAATTTTGTTCGATTAAACCATTGAAAAAAAATGTGACGCTAATTCGTATTTTTGTGGAAAACAAAAAAAAACTAAAACACATTCAAATAAAAAATTCCTCCCCATTTTTCAAATAGTTGGAACAACAAACTGTGCATTATTTATTCAAAAACAATTTTTAGAAAAATTTTCAATGGTTTTTCAATAGACTACTGCGGGGATTTAAATATATGTTTAAAAAACACAACCGCACCATGTAGGGAATTTTTGAGAGCAAAAACGCAGTGAAACTGCTCGTATAAACCCTCATAAATTAATTTTAAAAAAATGATCACAGGTGAAACGCTTTTTAAAATTTAAGCTCAAGACAACAATAATTTTTGAATGGTATTAAAAAAATTCTGTCAAAAAAGGCTAGTTAATTCTGTCAAAAAATTTGTTTGAATAAGAAAACCACCCCGAGCACAAATATTCCGTTACTTTCTTTACGAAAATCAGAATAAAAAACTTTAAGTAAAATGACGTTTCAAGTACAAGAACTACGTTGAGTCAAACTCCTGAAATCAAATTTTTAAAACGGCGGTTTGCAAAACCTGTTAAAAAGCGCAAAGATTGTAGAATCTAATACATGCTAGAAGCAGTTTTTTTAAGAAAATAATCAACACAAATATGATGAATTGTTCAGAATTGGTTTTAGAAGTAGCGGTGCAGTGCTGTTCGCTCTAACTTGTAATTAGTTTTCTGCAATTATAATTTATAGTCTCGTCTCTATTATATGTTCGGAATTGGGTTTCATTTTATTAAGGAAGTACAGGATATGATTTTTTCGGTTGGCAAACGGTTGGTTTAAAGCGATAGTTTCGCGCGAGTGTAACATACAAATCTTTACCGAAATTCAAAAATAAAGTAGTCTAACAATAATGATGCAAGAAAAGGACATAGAAAAACTATCAAACCTTATAAAAATAAATTTCTGAAAGGGTTAGCTTCAGTCATTCCAGTTCATCTCCTCGCGCTATGATTTTGATCTATCAAATGATGGCTCCGAAATAAATTTTGGGGTTCTCTTAATATTTGTCTCAGATTTCTCGGAATTCAATAGGTCATGAGCAGAAAAATTTCAGAAAAATTTCAGAAAAAGGACTGAAATTAGTGACTGACTGTTACCGTTGCCTTGCTGATTACGCAACTCCCGTCTGAATTGATAAAGCATAATTGATAAAGGGAAATAAAGACAAGATTTGAACGTTCTTTTTTGTAGCTGAGAATCAAAACATTTATTTGGTGTCAATTTTTTCGTAGCAGGCACAAATGATTAAAATATTCATGGTACATTCGCGAAATATTGTTGCTCAATATCTGAAAAAGAGAGTCAACATTCTCATTTTCCAGGAAAATGACAAAGTTATCTAGATTCATGTACTCAGTGTCTGTTAAGACAATGAGAGTGAGCCTCGAGGCCGGCTGGACAAACAAAGGGCAGAACAAAAGGAAATGAGGAGGTGGTGTTGTCTTTTTATCGGGCCAACAAATTTCAACTTCTCGTAGAGACAGTTTTTTTGTCCTGAGCAGCAAAATCGAGCGATTTAGGATAGTCTCGACTGGGGGCAACGGCATACCACTAAAGATACCAGCCGATCAGTATGTTCAATAATTCGGCTCTTTTCTAGTTTCCCGCTCTTCTCGTAAATTTACAATATAAAGTTGTTTAAAAATTGTTCTTGCGGCAATCTGTATGTAAGAAATTATGTAAATTTTGTTCACAAAGTAAGTTTGTTTTGCATTTTAGAATATCAAAAGTCATTTGAAATAGGCTTTCAAAAAAGGAAGTTAAAAAAATCAAAGTGGGGAACTGGAAACATTTGTTTTCGCTTAGCAACTTTTTCAAAAGCGACCCGCACCTAGCGCCTATGAATCTTAATGAGTTATATTGTATTCGTATAGTCAATATCTATAAAAATACAAAATAGTCTATTATAATCCATTCAAATTGAATTATAATCCTTATTTTTGACGCCAATATAACCCATTATCAGTGATTATAATTTTTTTGAGAATTTTTTGATGAATTTTCAGTTTTGTTTGACATTTATGTCATTTCCTGTTTCGTGCAGTTTCATAAATTAAGTTTCATAATTCTTACATTGTTCAACTTTTTCAATTCAGCGGTTTTTTGACATTTTATTTGAACTTCATTTTACCAACAATCGCCTTTTGCCTACCCCCCACCCCCCCCCCCCCCCACACACACACACACGTTCAAGTAGGAGAAGAACTGTTAATGGTTCAGCGAAGGAGGGGTGAGAAATGGCTGAAAATGAGAGGTGGGGTTGGTGTGTTAAGGTTTGATTTCAATGGTTGAACGAATGGGTTAATGGTTGATCTCCGCCTGTTTTACCACCCCCAGTTTACCCCTTCACTCTAGTTTATCCTCTTCAATTTCAAGAAAGACACTTTTTGGCAGAACTAACCTAATTTGAGAAAACTGGGTCAACTTGTTACAATTTTAGACCGCAGTTTTATACAAATAAGGTTTTTTTTCCTTCGTTGAAAAGTCCCTTCGTTGAAAACTTCATTCGATGAACGCACTTGAAATTATACTTTTTTTGTTCTTTATTCCTGTAGAAAACATACCGAAAAACTTCTGGTAAATTTTTAAAAATTTCTGCAAACTAATCGAACTACTTTTTAAAGAAAAAGGACTCTTAAAATCGGTTATATGAACGTGTTTTATTTCAAAAAAAATCATTTGTAATGGATTATATTGACAAAAAATGATTTTAGTGCCATTAATCATGATTTTTAATCGAATATAATGAAATATAATGGATTAATATTTTCCTAAAATATTCGACTGTAATGCCAATATAATTGAGTTCGTGTTCTGAATTTTGCATCTCTAATGGATTATATACGAATAATTTTCGTCTCGATAAAAATAAACATATTTAACAAAAACAAAGCTGAAACTCAGTCTGCATTTTAGCCAACTACATTTTTTTATACATTACTGTGTCATGTGTTTAATTATTTTAAGTTATCCCAGTGTGAGTTATCCCAGACAAAAAGTTAGGTAGTAGAAACTTCAGATTGATAAACAAGATAAAAATTTTCTCAAACTATAGAAATGGGACCAAGTTATCATCATCCTCCTCCACCCCCCAAATCATACAATAATTAATCATAACATCAGACAAACAAATAATAATAATAAATTTCTTATAAAACATGGCTACAAATCTGGGTACAAAATGGCTACAAAACTGTGGAAATAAAAAATTTCTGATTGGATTGCTTTATATCAGTTCAAACTTCCAGCCCTATAACAGCCCTATATGATGATGGGAAAAAGTCAATTTTCGATTTATTTTCAAAAAAAATTATGGCCGTAAAACTTTGAAATAGTTTCAAAAAAATAAATCAATTTGAGAAATCTGGAATTTTAATTTAAGGTTTTATTCTGCTGAGAAATTTCCTCATTTCCTGTTTCGTAACTGGAGAGCAAAATTTGATTTCTTTAGCAAATGAACTCGCACTGAACTCACAAATTGTCTATATATCTAAGGTCGCTCACAAAATCATTTATATTTATGAAAGCTATATAAGAGATATACGTTCATCAATACTTTGATATACGTTCGTCAATACTTAAACACAATTGCTGTAGCCAAGAAACAACATCGAATCATTTTTGCGATACTAACTGAAAACTGTTTTTCCCACTTAAAAATTGTTTTAAGAAAATTGAACACATAATACTCACATAATACACATATTACACATAATACTTAAGTTGAGTTTTACTGCTAAGCGATAGTTTACAAAAAAAAAATCATTTATTTTTGTTATTAAGCCAAACCGCAGCAATGCGAATTTTGAACGCGCAAAGATTATTTTTTTTGGGTTCTAAAGAGCTGTTTTTTTTACTTGAAATTTTAATTGCTCCGTCTTTCGTAGAAAATGATGGAACATGTGTGCAAGGGGTGGATTATTTTTAAATAAATTGCGACATTTGAACTACTCAATTTGACATTCTTATATCATCTGATAACGAATGCTTCCTTGAGCTCAGAAATTTGAAAAAAAGTGTTTTATCTGCAACATGCTTGTTTAAAAAAATAACTTGAAGTATTTAAAAAATTCCGTTCAAAAGTAAATCCATGAAAAGTTGAAATGTGTTCTAAGAAAAAACCACACCAAGCTTAGATATTTCCTTCTTTGTTCAAAAATCGAAA